GCTCCCAAAAATGGCTCCACAGCATGTAAACATATAATATAAGCTCTGGCGGACTTGGTTCTATGGTAGGTCTTAAAGGGTTAATAAAAAATACTCGAGACATCCAGACAATGGATTCATCTTCTTTAAACATCTGGACAGATCTGCTCAAATCACCCTGGCTCTGCACCAGCGCTATAAGACAGCTGTGGACTTGGTACCTGTTCCATATTAAGGTCACACAGGTGACTTTTTGATGGGCGGAGCCATCCTGCAGCTGCATGCAGCTCAACAAGCTGTGGAAAAGCCAGCGCACTCTGAGGAGGGTGCATGTGTTCGCAGCTGCAAGAGCGTGCTTTAAAACAGACCTATTATTTTTTTCTAATAACGTTGGTTGAAGCTAACTTACTGACGGCAAAGTCCCTCTTGCAAAAACATTCGGTGAACGGCTCAGTCTGTCGTCAATGGTCGATAAATTTGTCCAACCTTACTGCATATGCAGGATGGTGGAAGGAGCTCAGACTTTTATATTTCTGAAAGAGGTTTAAGGATCTGGACGCGACAGAACGTCACTGATGTGCGTGACTCTGTTAGGACCAAAAGATTAGTCATAAACCGTATCGTAGCATCACTTTGACCAAGGACGATGCAGAGGAGGCGAAACAACGATGGGAGAAAGAATCAGGCTTTTCAATACCTGACCATTTAGCAAAGGACCCAAGATGCGGATATGCAGTGAAGCTTTATTGACACAAAACTCGAGTGATAACAAACAAAAGGAGAGTGTGGCGAGAAACCGAACTTAGACATAAACTACACTGGGAAAACTAAAACCTAAACACCAAACCTGAACACGAGAGAAAGCAACTTGCAGGGAGAATTCACAGGACGATGGCAGGAGATTCACACACACGAAAACACCAAATAACACTGACGAACCCGCAACGAGGACGAGGTAACACACACTATAAATACATACGCCAGGAATCAGGGGATGGGAAACAGGAGGGGAACACACCTGGAAGACATAACAGCTGACGAGGAAACGTAAACAGAACACACTGACATAAGACAGAGACCTTCACAATAAAACAGGAACTTACACATGCGAGGACACGGACTAAGAAACACGGACTTAACACAAGAATACATGGGCAGAACCGAATAACTAAACAGAGGAAGAACAGAACCAAAATCACAATAACAGAAAACACAGAACGCTGGGTCAAAAGGACCCAGGATCATGACACTTTGATAATAATAATGTGTTCTTCATACAAAGTAGAAATAAATCTGACCCCTTGGATCTGCGGCGTGAGGAACTTTATTCTTTCAGTGTGTTTGTTGAGCTGGGGGCAATAACGTAAGCTCGCATCACAAAGCAACATATCAAAGCCCAGATTGACGCCTGTGGAGTTTTATCTCGGTTCTTGTTTGATGTTGGTTCTCCTTCGTGTCCAAACTCGTCTCTGTGTTTCTGTGTCTTCTGTCTAGAGTCAGCCATGTCCCCGTGTCTGTCTCCACTGTTGTTTTGTCAAGGTCATATGTCTTAGTCTGGTCTCTGTGTTAGTCACTTCCTGTTTTATTTTGACAGTCCTCTTGTGTGTGATCGTGTCCAGCTGTGTTCCCACATGTGTCCACTCCTGATCTCCTCCTGTGTATCTGCTCTGTCTCCCTCTCAGCTTCCTCTTTTTCCCAGTAAATTAAATCTGTAACTTGTTCCCGACACGCGTCTCAGGACTTAATAACGGATGGCGTGACCATGTGAAGCTAAACGAGGCTAAAAAGCCGTGCGCAGACATGTCCCCATCAAACTGCACAGCCTTTCTTTATATGCAGATACTGTGATTATTATTAGAGTCTTTAAAGGAATAGTGAATCAGTGTCACGCCAACACGAGTTGAGGTGTGTTTGCAGGAGCGTACACGCCGGCGTGATGCAGGCAGCTGGCGTGCCACTAATACCCCAAATATTACTACAGTTGTTAGCGAGCGATTGTAGTTTTGAGAGCGGCCTGCAGAGAAAATGACTCCTAATAAAGCCTCATTATGCTGATTTAATGAACTGCTCCGGCTCGACCTGTCACACACGTACAGATGAATTCTCGTCCCCGCTAACGAAGGCGCCCCCGTCCCTCCGCAGGTCTCCAGCACCGCCACCCTCGAGGGTAAAGGTCAGCTGAAGTTCACCTCCGGCAAGTGGAGCCCCCACCACAACTGCAGCCAGCTCGCCACAGCCAACGACACGGCCATACGAGGCTGGGACCTCCGCACCATGAGGTGAGCACCGCCGCCCGAGAGACACTTTAGGGGCTTTATTTAGGTGACCTGCAGACTTCACTTTTTCACGGCGTTGATCGCTGAACCTGATGGAATAAGCCCCACAGCAGCCGCTGAGCTGAGGTGTCACTGACGTTTTTTATTCTCATTTGCCCGTCAGCATTAATGCTTTTTTTCTTTGCACCTGATTAAAAGAAGCTGCCGTCTGTGCAAATCTGACAGAAATGAGTCGTGTACGTTAAACTCTGGGCTTACTGGTTTTACTGGGTGTTTGCATGTCATTACATGCAGACATTTGAATGCACTACACAGAGCTGTGCGTTTAATGTTACTCATCATGCTGAGGGAGTTTTGTCACGACTGCCTCTCCGTGCATCAGAAAACACAAGTCGTCATGTTACAGCTTCAGAGCAGGTTCACATCATCTCCTCATGCTGTGAGCAGATGAAAACTTCGTGTAACCGTTGGAAACGAGCAGCGTCGTAAATGCGATTAATGACTGAGTCGTTAGTCGTTATTGGATATCGAGTTAAAAGGCCCTCCGAGAACACAAACCTCCACCGAGCCAGCTCGCTCGCCGGGCGGTAAAAATAGTTATTTTCTGTGTTTGCATTTTGATTCTTCTTTCATTTTAAACCGACTTGTTTGCAGTGCAGGCTTTTGCTCTGCTCAAACCATCATATGCTTTAATGTACTTGTCATCATTTTGAGTAGGGAGCTAATTATGCTAGCAAAGCTGAAAACTGTCATACATCAGGTTAGCCGAGTGTCCGGAGTATCCGCCTGGATATCGTATCATAGTCGCAAACCATTTATCCCGTTTTCTGTCTGAAAACTCGGCTGCTGAAAAGGTTTTGAATGAATTCTGATCAAACTCTGTAGCGGTGCTGATGGGAGTCCAATATCGATGTCACTTACTGATCCTCGGTGGGTTCTCATTGGCGTCAGAGTCACCGCCATCTCTTCATTCACGCTGAGGTCAAATGTTTGTGCATGTTGGAGATATTTCTGCTCTGTTGTGATCAGTGTTGGGGCTGTTAGTCAAAGATGAAACCAGCACAGACACTTCAAAGCGGTCGTCATGGTGATTCTGTTGATGTTCAGGCTCTGGCTGCAGTCTGCACACACTCAGCTCTTGGCTAGCTTAGCGTTAGCATAGCATATAGCAAAGTAACATACAAATTAAATATATGTCACATTTGAACTTTGACCTCACTTTTATTACACATTGTCTTTTCTTTCAAATTGAAATTGTGTTTTATCTTGAAAGAAAGTATTTCCAAGACAAAGACAATGAGTGCGTTTAATTACAAATATACTGAAATATAATATTAAACTACATATGAATCAGGTAAGAATCTGCCACCAGGACAAAAGTGATTTATGATGAACAATTAAGAGTATTTTGTAATATTTTTGATCACTTTTAGGTAATTTTACATAAAAATAAATGTGCCTTTATTTAAAAAGAACCGTAATATTTCGAACCTTCAGCTGCTGTTTAAACTCTCATCGATCGTGGCCTGCGGGTCTTTGTCAGATTCCAACGTTATGAAATAATATTTTTTGCACAGTTACATCAGAGGCTTTGCTGATGTGATGAGGCAGTTAGAAACCTGCGACACTACAGGCAGCGGAGTGGAAACACGGCACTCGGCTGCAGTTAATTAGCATATGGACTCTTCTAATGCATAAGTCAATAAAGGCCTGGCAATGAAACGAGGCTTCAGGGGAATCAGATGTTACGTTGTCCACCCAAAGCCAGAACTGCTCCACGAATCAAATTCATTCACGATTAGTGAGATTAGTGGTTCTGCTGGCTCCAGTCTGTGGACGAATTAAAGGAAAAACTGGAGTCCTGACCCACAGTGAGGAGCTCTCTACAGTCACCGTTACCTGTGAGCACCCGGAGCTGTTTATGCTGATTAAATCAGCACGCTCAGGAGCGGGTTGTAAAGTGGCTTGCAGCTTTTAGTAGTCCATCTTCAGTGGAGACGACACACCCACATGTAGTTCAGGCAGCCAATCAGAAGAAGGCTGTCTGAAAGGGGCGGGGCTAACACAGCTTGTTTCAGACCAAGGATGGAGGGATTATTATGGGCTGTGGCTGCAGCTTGTTGTCGTAGCTGTCAGCTTTGTGTCTCTAACAAAGACGAACACACAAACCTGAGCGGTCTGTGCTCGTATTTGCATCCAGGTGTGTCTGTCGGCTCTGTGCGGACGCCCGTGAGTCGAGTCGAGCGCGTTCTTCTGCTCGCCAGATGATGAAGTGCGAGGCGGCTGAGCACTAATGTTCCTGTGTGACACGGAGCATGTGTACTACCACACATTAACCTTGTAACTGCAGGTTATCAGCAGCCCACCTCCCAACCTCTCACTGTGTGTGTGTTTCTGCAGCACTTGATGAGTGAGGTCAGCGTGTGTTTACGTGTGGGCTGTGCTGCAGGAATAATAATCACCTCGACATCGATCGCCATGATAACAGCAAAGTGCTGAAGAGACTGAGAGGGTGAAGGAGAGAGGAGGAGAGAGTGAGAATGTATTTACACGATGCGTATCACAGGGCCAGATAAGATAGTTGAATCATTGATATCGCTCCCCGTCAGCCCCATAACAAATTAAAGAGTTCCTGCACACCCCGTTTTGGCCGCTCTCCTCCCGCTATGCTGTTTTGAAGGATGCAACAGTGCTGATTTAGCCGTCGGCACAAAGGGAAGGAGGGGGCGGCGGAGCGGGGCTTGTTAGCAGAGAGCAGCCTCATCCCTGATATCGCTGTGAAAACACACCATTATAGTCTGCAGGGACACGTGCAGCCAGCAGGGGGCGCACCGTGACAGACGTTTCCAAGAAAAATAATAAAATGGTCCGATAAGGACGATCGACCTTTTCGTTGGTTTAAATAAAGTAAGATGTTTGTGCAGGAATATATCCAAGTGCTGTCAGGACTGAAACTCTGCACTTTGAGTCATTTTTTCATTTTAAATATGCGGTTCATGTTTTTTTAAAAATAAGCTGAAGCTTGGAAATGAGGAGCTCGAGACGTATTTGTCTCCTCGTTTGATTCGTTTGGTCCAAAGCGTCTGAAGCAACAGCAGGTAAAGAGATGCACAGAGGAGGTCGGGGTGGAGGCAAGAGACAACCAAACATCAAACTAACAAACCACATTTCAGTTACAGTTAAAGTCAAACCTGATCTTCTCCTCTTTGAATTTATTCCTCCACCTGACCGGAGGACGACACCTGAGCGACCTCATATTCAGAGATCCAGGAAGCTCATGACCTGTTTGTGCCTCCAGACCTGCGTAAATGATCCATTTATTAGATTAAACTGATAGAAAAATCATCATTAAGTATTTTAGTAGCTGATCTCAGAGCAGTCCTCCATCATGTCTCCATCAGCTCAGCACAGACAAGAGTCTCATCTGCAGATGTTTGATGTGCCAACAAAAACAGGACTAATGCAGCAAACCAGCACAGAGAATAACATGTACATCATGTGAAAACCCAACTACAGTCCAAAACTGTCATTTATTTTTATTGTTTCCTTAAAATTCCAAACTTCTGAATGAACATGGAAAAAACAGATTTCATTTTTCAGTCTTTTCTGAAGACGTCAGACCGTCTGCTGTCTGAGCTTTTGTGGTTTAGTAACTTTGCAAACGGACAAATGCTCATTTGTTAATGACAAATGCCGCTCCTGTAGCCGAGGAGTTTGCTGGACGATGGTTTGGGCCAAATACTGGAAAGTGCACCAGATCCTGATCGAGCCTTTTGCCCGTGTTACACGTCAGATCAGCACGCGTGTGTCACAGCTGTGTTTGTTAGATCACCTTACGTTGAGAGACGAGCAGAAACCCAAACCTTAACCATTCATCAGTAAAAAGAAAAACGTGCTTGTGTTTAAAAAAAACAAACAAACATCATTTACTTACTGTTTGACGTCTGTACGACCAACTGAGACCCCCGACACACGTGGTCGAATTTTTCAACAATGTATATATAAATTGAAGCGATGTCGGCCACTCTGATATCAAAACAGTGACTCTTCCTGTTGGATCACAGACAGTTTGCATGGTTTGTTTTCTCTGAGCTCTGCTTTAACGGCAGAAAATCGATACACAAATCTAAAAATGTAAAAGAATAAAAAACATTCAGATGCTTCAGTAGACAGACACACACACACACACACACACAGAGACACACACACACACTGAGGTCACAGCATGTCGTGTTTGTGTTTCACTGTCTGTGCATGTGTGAAGTGGCTGCAAGTGTGAAAGAGCAGTCTTTGTGTCTGTGTGTGTGCGCGTGTGTGTGTGTCTGTGTGTGTGTCAGCCTATCATCATGCTCCACTACCTCTGCAGGTGACCTCTGAGGTGTCTCCCCCCACTTCTCTCTGACACACAGAGTAAAAATAGACCGACCCATCGGTGGTTTCCTGTCATTGCATTGAATTTGTTTCCATTCACTGACTGACTGCTCGTATTTTCTAAGGCCGAGATGATGGTGCAACACCCTCCACCTCTGGGTGACCTCGCTCGCAGACAGATCTGCAAAGGTTTGCAAATAACTGCCGTCTAATTTCATAACAGATTACAGTCGATGTGCGTCCATCCAATGAGCTCGTCTGCCATGTTTTTGAAACGATTTGTGGAGAAATTTCTTTCAGATCAGTGAGGTTCTGAATGTTAGCAGCTAATGTGTATTTCTGTTTATGTCGACAGCAACAGATGAATTTATTGCAATTCATCACAAACAGAATGTGTGTAATTGACCCGTTACAGACCTGTTACAGACCGATTACAGACTGGATGCAGGCTAGTTACAGACCGGTTGCAGGCTGGTTACAGACCGGTTACAGACTGGATGCAGGCTGGTTAGACTGGTTACAGACTGGATGCAGGCTGGTTAGACTGGTTACAGACTGGATGCAGGCTGGTTACAGACTGGTTACAGACTGGATGCAGGCTGGTTAGACTGGTTACAGACTGGATGCAGGCT